AACTCCATTTCTTTCATAAGTGAACTTCACCGTGATCCCCTGGCTTCTCCCCACCAGGGACTTGCTCTCTTTATCTCTGTAAAATATTTATTTCTTTTCTTCTGATTAACTTTCTTATCACCATTACACTAAAGGAAAAGGTGACAGGCAGGTCATCAAATGCCAGTCTCTTGAAATTTCCATTTCTTCAATAAGCTTTTCAAATTAAAAGAGAGCAAGAATTGGGCAATTTTTAAGAATCTAATTATAAAACCATTATTATTTTAGACCGAGGATTACAGACAGTGCTGATTACTCTGCAGGAGGCTCCAGCCTCCATGGGGCTCAGGCCTGCCCCCTTTTCAGTTCATGGGAAATGAAGATTCCCCCATAAACTGCTGGGCTTTCTTCAGCATGGAAGTGACTACAGATTCCACTAATCAATCTACTGACTTTTCCAATGTATTGATGGAGTCAACCACATTTCAGTTAGGTCATTAAGGCCTGGGAACCACTTTATCCCTCTACGGTAGAGTCTTCACACCTTTTCAATGGTTCACCTTTATCAGTTTAAAAAAACTTTGGGTTCTTGGGTGGCTCAGTAGGTGAAGCGTCTGACTCTCGATTTCAGCTCAGGTCATGATCTCAGGGTTGTAAGATCGAGCCCTGTGTCAGGCTCCACACTGAGTGTAGAGCCTGCTTAAGATTCTCTCTCTCCCTCTGCCTCTGCCCCTCACCCCCGCACGTGCACTCTCTCTCTCTAAAAACAAACAAAACAAACAAACAAAAAAACCTTTAATACTCCACCCCACCAAATATATGGGTAGTTATATGCTTGTAAATTATGTATCACCAATATATTCCATAGTGTATATTCTAATTATATAGTATGAATGTATTATAAACATTATATATACACACAAAATTTTCTAAGGTGATACCTTTGTCCATCTGGGCTGCTATAATAGATTATCACAGACTGGGTAAATAACAGAAATTTATAAACAACAGAAGGCTGGAAGTCCAAGATCAAGGGACCGGCAGATGCAGTGTCTGGGGAGGTCCCCATAGATGGCCATGTTCTCACTGTAACCTTGTAGAATCAAAGCAGCAAGGGATCTGTGTGGGGTCTCTTTTATAAGGACACTCCCACCACTCGTGAGGGCTTGCCCTTGGGACCTAATCACCTCCTAAAGGCCACACCTCTAATACCATCACCTTGGGAGTTATGCTTTTAACATATGAATTTTAGAGGGGTACCAATAATCAGCCTAGAACAGGAGATATAAAGACATCTGAAAGGCCTATTATTTCCTTCCTGTGCCCTGATAGACCTCACAAGCACCAGTTGGAGGCAACGGTTCAAACTTTGTGTGACAAAGAACAGCCTGGAGAACTTTAGAATGAAGGTTCTTTGGACCTCAGTCCCAGAAGCTTTAATTGGATTGTTCTTGGGATGGGCCTCAAACCCATCCTCTCCCCAAGCTCTGGGGCTAACTCTGATTCCAATGCTCAGATTTTGGAGCCACTGGTCCAGACCCTTCTGTTTTCCTACCCTTCTCACTTTATCACTGTGGTCCTGCTGTTATCTATCTCCTGGAGACCCTCTTGATTCCCTAGGTAAATTAAAAACAAGTCAGCAATAATAATAGCTGTCATTTATCATTTCCTACTGGCCAACATTGCTTCACCTCTTTCTGTGACCCCCTCTAATCCGATCAGGAAGGCATTTGCAGTCCCTATACAATGAAGGACAACAGTTAAAGCTCCGAACACTCACATCTTGCCTAGGTCACCCCGTTAGAAAGTGATAGGCCAGGGATTTGAACCTAGAGCTCTCTCATTCCAAAGCTTCGACTTTTGACCACTGAGCATGTTGCCTCCAAAATAAGTCACTACATGAGCTGAATTTCAAGTATGAACCAGGCACATGGCTGGGCACTTCACATGCAAATCTCTAATACTATGACATATCTGCTTTTGTACAGGGATGGATCTCAGTCTGAAAATTCTGGTGTACAAGACATGTCTCTATTTTCTGTAAGCCATCGGAATTATTGACTCCAAACTCGTGTTTTTCAGGCCCTCTGGATTTCTCCTTTCCATCCCCACCCCATTATGCCATAGTTCTGGATCAGACACAACCCCCAGGCCTGGGGGTGAGGGTGGCACCTGGTTCTCTGTCACCCATCCACACAAGTGGCCACTGAGGGGCCTGTCCTCCCCATCTTACAGGAGCTGTTAGCCCTGGAGCTCACTGCTGCTCCTACCTCATGCCAGGCACGGGGGCTTCTTTCGCCCATCTGCCAACACCACACAGCTCTATCGTCTTTGGGTTCTTACCATCTTCCGGCAGGGTTTCTGGGAAGCCAAGTTTTGGGAAAACGAAAGATTTGTAGAATTGCCCTTCTTTTTTTTTTTTTAAAGATTTTATTTATTTATTTGAGAGAGAGAATGAGAGACAGAGAGCACGAGAGGGAAGCAGGTCAGAGGGAGAAGCAGACCTCCCGCTGAGCAGGGAGCCCGACGTGGGACTCGATCCCGGGACTCCAGGATCATGACCTGAGCCGAAGGCAGTCGCTTAACCAACTGAGCCACCCGGGCGCCCTAGAATTGCCCTTCTTAAGAGGGAGGAAGAGCAAGGGAGAGAGATGTCAGGAGAAAAATAATAGTAAGTTGGTATTTCAGAATCTTATCTCTGGCTCATGTTATCCCATTTTACAGGGGAGGAGATGTGGCTTGTTAAGGTTAAGTTAGATTTTGCTCAGCTAGTAGATGGTAGACCCAGCATCCTCAGGCCCTGGAAACCTCATTCTCTGTGAAGTCCTCCTCTCTTCCCTGCCAGGAGTCTCCCTGGCCAGCTTCAAGGAAACACAACAGAGCTGGTGCATTAAAACCACCACAGAAGGGTGATGGGCCAGGCAGGCAGAGCTTGGGCAGATGGGAGCAGACAGCACCCCTGAAAGGAAACCAACATCTCTCCTCCTATCCCGGCCCAGGAGAGCCTCACAAAACAAACTGGCGTGAGATGATAGTAGAGAAATTCTTGGTGAAGCCGGGACTTTTGAGAGCTAGAACTTTGAAGACCTCTTCCCATGTAGAAAGTGGTAAGAGAGTGTACTCTGCAGAAATTTGGGAAGGAGGGGTCTTGGCATTCCGGAGCTGCTTGGATTCACTGGTATCTTGCTGAGTTAATTGGCAGAGCAGAACCCCCAAGTTATCTAACTGCCTGCTCCACATTTCCAGTTGACTGTCCGAGAGGCATCTCAAAGATCACAGGGCCAAAGCTGATTGCATCATCTTCCTCCACCAAAACTGCTCCACTCACAGCCTTCCCCACCTCAGCTGTTATCAACCCCATTGTCCACTTGCTCGAGCCAAAGTCCTTGAAGTCATCCTCAACGCATCTCTTTGCCTTGCATCTCACTTTCCAGTAGTCAGGAAATCCTGTTGCATCCACCTTCCAAATATATCCAACACATCCACCACTTCCCAATTCCACTATTACCACGCTGAAGCAAGCCCCCATCACTTCTCACTGATCACTGCCATGACCTCCTCACATTCTCCCCCACTTGCACTCTTGCTCATTTATAATCTGTTCCTAGCCTCGAAAACCAGAATGATTTTTTTTTTAAATAATATAAAATCACGTCACTCTTCTGCTCAGAATGGTTCCCTATGTCTCAGATCATAAAAGTCAAAGTTTTTATAAGGGTGTCTCTTTGTTGTTCCTGGAACATACCAGGCACACTCTTACCTCAGGGCCTTTGCACTGGCTACTCTGTCCCAATATGTCCACAGAAGCTACTTACTGAAACCCTCATTTAAAGTTCAACTTCCCAAAAAGGCTCACCCTGACCATTCCATTTAAAATCTGAACCTCGGGGCACCTGGGTTGCTCAGTTGGTGAAGCATCTGCCTTCGGCTCAGGTCATGATCCCGGAATTCCAAGATCAAGCCCCGTGTTGGGCTCCCTACTCAGCCAGGAATCTGCTTCTCGCTCTGCCCCTCACCCCGCTCGTGCTCTCTCTCTCAAATAAATAAAATCTTTAAAAATTTTTTTTAAAAATCACTACCTCCCCCACCCCTGTAATTCTGCTATACTTTCTTTTTCCATAGCTCTCACTGTATTCTACAATCTCTATAAATCTCTGATTTATTATGTCTATTGTCTATCATCTGAGTCCTCCCACCCCCGATGGTACATAAGCTTCACAAAGACAGGAACGTTCATCTGTTTTGTTCGCTTGAATGTCCCAAGTGCCTAAAATAGGGCCTGGCGTATAGTAGGTATGCAAAAAAAAAAGTTGAACAAAGAAAGTTTAAATAAAACTAGAGACCCAAAGAATATCATGAGAGTCGCACACAGGAACATTTCCCCTGCCTGGTTTTGCTGAGTGGCCTGACTTCTCAGTCCTCTACACAGTGGGAGCATTAATTAGCACAGAGGAGGAGAGTTTATTCTAGGGTCATCTCCCAAAGGGGCCCCCAGCAAAGGCATCCAGTCCTGCATCTTTGCTCCTTCCTACACTGACGTTAGAGGTTTTCTGTCCCTTTCAGCTATAGAAACATCGTCCCACCACTCTTTAACTTCAGGCACCAGCAATTTTGCTAAACCCAACAGAAAATGGACCCTCTGGTAGCTCTCTGCGTCCCAGAGCCCTTTTCTTTTTCTTTGTGCTTAGCTTGCAATTTGAAATACCTCTGCCATGAGCCAACATCCCCAACGCAGTGATGACAGAGGGAGAGCGAGGCAACCCCTGACCTTTGACAGAATTTCCAAACACATTAACTTTAAATTGATTAATTTGGAACTGTGACCTTGGCCCAAGAAGGTAAGAATATATGACAAGATATTTTATTTTCAAAATGTATCAGGATTTAAAAAGAGCTTTTGTACATCAACCTTTGTTGTATTCGAAATAGTTAGACCTGGGGTTGGGGTCTAGTCAGAGAAGCGAACACTGGATACCATGGCTAAAGGTTAATTATTAATGAGCAGGCGTCCCTAACAAAGTACCAATAGGCAATCTGGTCTCTTTAACTTCAGAAATTAGCAAGAAGACCTCGGACCCCGGGTGAGACAGGAGAAATGGAAAGTCCCCCGTGTGTCTCTATTTTCTTGGTTTTGTGCGTCTTTATCCAATCAAGTGCCCATGGACAAAGCCTGGGACTAGGTAAGAGCTTGCCTTTTATGCGGAGATGGGCATGGATTTTCTTTTTTAAATGTCTGTCTTTGCGATGAATCCAAGTGGTTCTTGATGGTGTGGGACAGGGCTTGGTTCTTAGTGGAGTCACAGGTCACAGGACAAGCTGCCATTTGTGCAAGATTGAAATTTTAGGAGATCTTTCTGGGGGTAGAAGCCTAAACGCACTCGCAGCTTACACTGAAGTCTCTCCCATGTCTGATTCAGAATTAGTCAAGCTAAGACTTGGATGGAGAATGATCTGAAAGAGTTTTGGATCTTCCTGAGCGCTAACTTGGCATCTAATTTGTGGCTGGGGAGCGTAGTTTGCAACGAAATGCTCCGTCTCGCTGAGGTTGTCTGATTGTCGGCTCTCTGGGAGGAGAGAGGGATTTGTAGAGTCCTGTTTCCAGTCAGGTCTAAAGGAGAGACAGCGTTGCAGATTTTCTGGACTTCATTTTTTTCTGCCAAAGGTTTACTGTGAGACTGAGGAATCCAACAGCAGTCACACCTGTTTGACCTGTAAATTCATAAACTAGATTGATGGCCAAAGACAGATCCAAATGTTTGATCAGGTAGGTGGATTCCCAGTTCCTGGCTAAACAGAGCATTGGATCAATAAGTGACAGGTATGAAGTACACTGAACAATGTGACCAAATAGACAGGTATTTGGGACTTTTTTGCGTGTGCTGGTCAAGAGCTAGTAACTCTAAGGTAGAAGCTTTAGATTTTTCTTTCCTCAAAGACTATGCTTAGAAGGAGCTCCAAAAGCCTTGAGAGTGAGGAATTTAGTAACCAATATCCCTGCAAATTCCAGAACCTTGTTTCCCCTTAAAAAAAATTTTTTTATTTTAGTATTATTTTATATCGTAGGCCGGTTAATAACTGATTAGTAGTATTAATTATTTACCATATACTGAGCATTTTCTGTGCCAAACATGTGCTCATTATTTTGCATACATCATCCTGTGTATGAAGTCAGGTCCAAAAATGACAATAAGAATTTAGAGCCAAACAGGCAAAATTGCTGATGATTTTTATTCCCTGGGTAGGTAGATGAGGATTTTGCTGAAGGACCTGTCCTGACCTTTGGTCCAGAATGTTGTTTTTGTTTGCTTACTTTCTTTTTTTTTTTTTTTTTAAA